CAGGTAATTTACTTTCACGGGCACAACAGTGGGCGACAAGTAATGCTGCAAAATTGCAACTCTCCGCAGTTTATTGATCATCTTAAATCTGGTGTTGGCATGATGCCAGTTTAAACTTTGACGTGTGTGTGCGTGAGATCTGGAGGTGCGTGAGGGCTGAATTTGAAATCTTTGGATTAGACGCAGCCAAGGAACAACTCTGTGAAGTTCCAGCCTCATAGCATGGGCCGTTCCCGAAAACACTTTCCCGCCAAAAAAACTTTCACATGCCCCTACGTGAGAACCACATGGACCTGAGCGTCCGTTTTGAGGATACAAGCTTGTATAGATTGCCACCAAATTTTCAGCCTTGTAGCTTTTGTGGATCTCGAGATGAAAACCCGTTACAGATGCACACACAGATACACATACACACACGCATACATACATACACATACATACACACATACACACAGACATACACACAGACACACACACAGACAACCCCTCGACAATATGCCTTTTTGCATTGCATAGCTGCAAAAAACGCATAAAAAAGACTTTACCCAGTTCCCATAGAGCGAAATGCTTTTCTTTCCTCTCGCTCTTTTGGACCCACCGAAATTCCTTCAAACTATTAAACTTGTTAAAAGTTCCTAACTCTGAGAGTGTTTTAGATACCCAGAAGTGCTTATCAAGAACACCGACTGTATGTGCGTTCTTAATTTGGGAGTTTATTCGTGAGGTTGCTCGAGCGGCAGGATATCGCGAATGCTGAGAAGTTGTGCTGGTTTGTTCTTCAAAGGTGAGAAGAAGTCTATGAAAATTTCAGCACTACGTGTTATTTCCAAATGGACGTCAATAGGGGCTGCAAAGGTGAATGTACACGTAATGATTTGAAAAAATTTGCATAAGCATACACGACGCTTATTGCAGATCTCTGGCCTAATATAAATTCATCATTTGCTGGGTTTGTTCATTCGGTTCAGTTTGTGAGCTTCAGTTCGTTATTGCTTTCATACGACTCTCATCTTTTTGATTTCTTCGTGTATCAGCGACTTGCACTGGCCAGGCCTAGTTGGAGTTTCTTTTGTCGAGGCAGAGTAAGCCGATGCGACATCAGCCAAGCCGCGCGTGCTCCTCATTGCTGCACAACCACATCCAGGAACCATTTGTGAAATATTTTTTTCGCCGCCTTAATTGCACAGACGCTTCGCACACAGAACCTGTAGTGAAAGTTGAAGATGAGCGAGCACTGCGCGTTGTGCGCTTTACACACAGATGTAGTGGCTAGCCCGCCTCAGGCTTATAAGTTATGGCTTTGCTTGCGGAGGCGCATCTATGACGGTACGGGCTAAGTTCGTTGTACAAGTAACAGTGTATGTATGACATGATAACACTGCTCACATATGTGTTACTTAGTCTGAAGAACATTTTAAGCTGAACTATCACGAGCGCCGCAGTATGGACCCGAACAGCGAAGAAGCAAAGTTGCTGTTCGAAAAAGTACTTCAGCAACTTTTTGGTCACAGAACCGAAAAAGAGCGACAGGCCGCTCGCCGCGCAAAAACACAGAACATCCTTTTCTCATGCGCGACACTCAGCGAATTGCGCAGACTTATTACCCAGGTTTCATCATTGTTTATTCGTGTACAAAGCTATGGAAGTGCCAGGACACAACTTCCTTTTGTGTAGAAGACGCTAGCGGCTTGACTTACGCCCAGTTACTAGTTATGCAACGAATGCTTTACTGCTTCTCTGCTCATATGTAATGCATTTTAACAAAAACTCAGTTGTGCCAAGCGCACGATGCATTTTTACAGCATTGCTAAGCTTTGACGCATAAATGAAAGAAAGTACACAGCAGTTCTAGGCTTTTTAGTTCTACCGCTAAAAAGTGCATTTGCTCACTGCAAAAAATTCGATATGATCAGGATACATTTGCAAGTGAGTAGAAGAATCTAATAGTTCCGTCCAACTGTGTATTAATACACCAACCCCC